TCACACGGAAGATCCTCTCAATCTCTTTCAACCAATCCAATGCTCCGTCAGCATCATACTTTCCCTTGAACATAGGCGGATTCTCCCTCTGGAAAGTCTCCAAACTACGAGATCCAGAATTCCCGTGAGCGTTCGGATGATTCTCCATAGCATGCGCAATTGCTTCTAAAGCAGCAGCAAGTGCAACATCATTCCTTCCAGCCATCTCAACTTATCCCTACAACATAAACAATGGTTAGAACTCAAATTAACAATACTCGATTGTTAAACTACGACTCGACAACTTGGTCGGATGGACCAACTTTGCTCTGATACCAACTTTGTAACAATCCAATTCTACCCGACAATACAAATTTAAATCAGAGTTATAAAGATCATGCAACTGAATCAGGATGCCACAAATTCAACTTAAATACCATTGCATTCAAACATGGATACATAACACTTTAAAACTTTGGACGAACCAACATCAAAATAAATTAATCTTTTAAATCAACAACTTGAACAAATACGCAGCGGAGTCATAATAACATCTTTATCCAACATTTGAATAACAAGTACTTAACAAAAATTAACTTAAAGTTCAACAACTGAAATAACAAATACTAAAGCAACTAGCGTTCATCCCCCCGAGTGTTACGTATCAGAGCAATGACACCGACTCAAACTACTGAAGGTCAATCGCCTTCACTCTGGATTACCTGCACGTTACCAACATAAGGGTAACATTCAAACAGAAGGGGTGAGATTCTCAAATTGTATAAGTGAGCGCATGATAAATCACATATTAGAATTCAGGAATATAAAACCATCACATTGCAAATATCAACATTGTCATGCCCTTCACAATACATCTTTTCACAAACCTCACTTGTTTTAATCATAACTTAAATCATCACAATTCACATATTTACTACTTATGCAAGACCCGATGAGACACAACTGTGCAAATGCATGTGGTACCAACATGACTTCAACCCCCATCGCCAATTGCCAACTATTAGAGGCATTCAAACAAGGCATGAGCCTTCATCGCTATTTTTTCAATCCAGGCCATCACAAAGTATGCAAATGAATGTGACTCGATGAACATGACATCACATATCACAATCGTCAACAACAAAATATCGTCGCAAGGAATACGCCTATATCACTGATATTACCAATTAGTAGAGGTAAATCTTCGTCATAACAATTGCTGCAACTTCGCCTTATCACAAAATATTCGCAACATCATAGCATCAACGCACATCACAAAGGAAAATACAAAAATGATAGTCGTTTCCAAAACACTCCCATAAATCTTTATGTATTAATTCTTCGTTTTTATGGATTATTATACTACTAAACACTTCAATTTATTTAGTATTATTCTCTTCCAAAATATACCAACAGTCACTATGTTTTCTGCTACTAATCTCACTACTCAGCAAATTCTCAAATTATATCACCAATTTACTTATTGGGTAACTATTAAATTCTGCTACTTAATTAATCCTCCAAAATAGTTACTGCAACTTTACTAACTATTTCCAACTCTGTCTTATTACTACATGCCGTTAAAATTATGTTGAAACTACTAAATTAAGATTACTGACATATAGGCTACTCCTATTAATGTTCCTTCTGCTAGCATACTATTGAAATTATATAAACATATTGCTAAGCTACATAAACAAGTGTCTGCCATGAAAATAAGTGTGCCTAACGTCACACTACAATGTGCCTAGCGGCACAACTTTTCCCTCAAACACAGTGTTGAACGACACTCTCCACTCACACCTTCCTGCTCAATGGTGCTGACAGACATCTAACAACAATAACCCCCTGCCTATCGTCACGTCTTCCTCCTCAATGGTGTTGACCGACATCCAACAACAACCTTTCCTTGCCGATCGTCACGCCCATGTTACTTCTCCAATTTCATTCGATTCAGACTAACCAACATATAACACAGGAACGTGAAATTTCACCAATAATCAACACTAATTAATTCCTAAAATCAGTTTCCACAAACAAACACAATCAATAATAAATTTACACCCTAAATCCCCACATACAATTTCTCATAAGCCCCATCATAGGATAAGAAACCCCACCCTTACCTGGTTTGGTTTGAAGGCAACTCTATGGATCTCCGATTGAATCTCCTCTTGGCCTCTTGGTTCAACTTCCTGTATCTCTCTTCTTCTCCAAAAACCATATCTTCCTCACTTATTTCTAATAATAATATAGTATTATTCTATTTGTCCAAATAAATCCAATTGGGCCTAAATGCTACTCCCCACTTTTACTTCTTGACGCCATAACATAACCCCATTACTAATTCTATTCTTATTTCTAATAAATTAATACTATAATATTTCTACCACTTAATCAATCCATCACTTTAATAATATTTCATTAATCCCAACATAAGAATTATTATTAATCAACTAACTAATTAATTGATAATAATCCAACAACTTTTACCAATAATTCTTAACATCTCACAACATCACAATTAATCCGAAAATATGATTTAACTAAACAATTAATTAAATCAACGGGCGTTACATGACCCATGCCTAAAAATAAACCCATGACAGGCTACAAACCAGACTTAGGCTTCAGTTTTTTTGGCAGGCTAAGCTTAGGCTTGGCAAAGCCTAGCTCGACCCAGCCTATTTTGATCCCTGCTTGCAGTTTTCGTCCTCATATGTCTGAGTACGTCATGTTTCAGTTCGGCTACATGCAGTACATTCCTAGAGACCCTTTTGTGTCTTCTCTTCTCACTATGACACAGAGATATGAATGCTATGTTTGATGATTATCTTAATCATATGCTACCGGAGGAGGCATGGAGTACCCTAGCTGTGAGAGCGATTGGAGCTACATAGATGGTTACATATGGTGGTTCTTCGGGGTGTCACATCCTTATATGGTACAGGATACTCCAGGTAATCCATTGAGGTTAGCTCATCAGAAGATACTTGAGGAGGAGCAGACTAGGGAAGATCATGTTGTTGATGTGCTGCCTAGATGTCATCGTATCATGGAGATTGGGTAGACAGGTATTGACAAAGAACTCTTTTCGGATTACTCTAAGGCGAGGGACGTTGTAGATATCATGATGGTGGAGGCACGGGAGGCACTGCAGTACGCGAGACATCGTAGGAGTAAGGGGACATGAGGCGAGTCTGAGACCATCATATGCAATAGTTTATAGTATTTGTACTCTAGATTTATTCTCGATTGTATTTATTTTGACTTATTTCGACTTTGTTGTGTACTCTTGATTTATAAGTTTTTATATGTAATTTTATACATATTAATTGTATTGTCTAATTCATCATAGTATATTTTTACTATATCGTCAATTTCATCTGAGCATCACTAAAACAAACTTAAAATTTATTGTCTGATCTAGTTATAGAAATGTATCTCTGAATTCTGTCTAGTGTGAATACTGAGATGCATCTCCGAGACAATCTATGGTAAAAAAGGACGTTTTTACTAGTGATGAATGGTGTATATATAGAATTATATCAGAGATGCGTCTCCGGGTTAAATTTTGGACAATATACTTGGTACGTCTCAGTTTTAACATTTTGACTTAAATGAATGGTACGTCTGAAGATGCATCTTCAAACTCTGAGAGGTAATTTTGAATTTTCATAGGGTACTTTTCAGTCACATAAGACGTATTTAAAAATCCCCAAATCAAAATACACTTTCCAAAGCTTCAATACACTACAAAAAAATGCATTTTGTTAGGTGAAAAACACTTTGCAAATGCAAATTCACCTTGCAACTGAACTATTGTGGGGTAGACTAAACACCCCGCAAAAATGTTAGTCGCAAAAAGTTATCAGGTGAAAAGCACACTGCAAGATAGTCAGGTGAAAAGCACTTTACAACATTGCTAGGTGAAATTTATCTCGTAACCCCTTTTCCAGAGTTCAGAGCATAAAACGCGGGTGTCAAAGTAGTATGGGTTTCAGAGCAGAGAGACAAAAAATTGTGAGGTAGATTTCATCTGACAAATTCAAAATTTGAATTTTGAATAGAAAGTTGCAGGTGAATTTCACTTGGCAAATTCAAATTTGAATTTCGAATTTCACCTTACTAAATGAAAATCACTTAACAAAATTTAAAATAATTTTGTTTTTAAAAATAAGAATTATATAAATCTGGGTTTATAAGATAATAATATAACATTTATTATATTTATTTATTTTTGTTTTAATAATTTTTTTTAATAAAATATTTTTGTTTAATATTATATATCTATATATTATATATATATATATATATATATATAATATATCTATATATATTATATATATATATATATATTATATATACTAAATATTATTACTATATATATATATATAATATATATATATATAATATATATATATATATATATATATATATATATATATAATATCTATATATATAAATATATAGCTATATATATATATATATATCTATATATATATATGTATTGTATCTGTTGATGTGTAATTT